AGACAATGGAAGAAAGATGTAAAGAATGGTTATCAACTTTTTCTTTGCTGTATCGTATATTAATCCTCCAATTTCCTCGTACTTCTCTTAACACTGTCCTCCAATGAGGCATAAATTTTACTTTTAACTTTGAAAAGCGTTGATCGTACGAACACTTTTAGTATGAAGAGTATCGTACTTAATAATGCTTTGATCAAACACCAACCTGTGTCAACAACTTTGAAGTTTAGAAGAAGAACGTATATCAAACTATTCCTTAGAAATGTTCCAACATTTTATTATATCCGTATGTGTCTTTAATATTGGCCTTTTCAAGGCAGACCATTTTTATCTCATCGAGTGCGGGAGGTCATGGGTTCGATCCCCAGTCGGGTCCAAACAAATACTTTAAAATTTTTATTACCGCTGATCCGCCTACTGGTTCGCGACATTTAGGAGAAGGAGAAAATACTGGTCGGCTCGGATTCCGAATAAAATGTCCATTTATAGATCCTTGTGGCAACCCTTTAAACATTGATTCACAATAACGGGAATGAGAACATACTTCAACACACTTTTTTTCTATTATATAGTTAAAAAATAAAGCTGTGTTTTGTATACTGTTTGTATTTTGGTCTTTGTCTTCTTTTTTTATCATGGCGTTGTCAGTCTATTTTCGACTTATGAGTTCGAATGTCCCTTTGGTAACTTTCGCCTCTCTTTTTTTAAATAACTTTACTAAAGATTAAGAGATGAGGGGGAGACAAACAAATTATTTTTAGCAAGAGAAGGTTATTGGGTAGGCAATCGAAAGCCTTGGACAAATCTATTAATATTGCCACTACATATTTAATATGTTGATATGAAGCCTTTTTTCCAGTCTTCTACTATTTTTTATAAAGGTGATTGTCATATGTATCATTTTCGAAACACTGACAGAAAAGTGTGAAAAATGTGACCCTTTATTAGTCGAGAATGGCTTGAATGTTAACCAAAAATTCTTGCTGTTAAGTCCTCTTACACATCTTTCCAGGAAATAGTTTCTGATTGATTTCTTTTTTTTTTTCAAAACCAAATTTCACTGTTTTCAATAAGATTCGCTTTATTCAATTATTTTTACAATTTGATATTTATTATACGCCATCCTTTTTATATATATATTTTCCTACATATATTTCCTATATTTTTGTCGATTACGTTATAATAGTTATTGACCAAGCAAGTCGGTATATGTCATTTAATCTGCACGGCTCAGGTTACCCTACTTGACCCGAACGACGTAGGAGTAACAATCCAGTGGTTCATTGTCGTTTGTTGCTGTCTGTCATGTTTTTTTTGTTTATTGTTTTATCATAAATCAGACCGTTGTTTTTCTTGTTTGCATTGTTTTACATTGTGCCATGTCTCTTATAGCTTGTTATTCGGTATGGGATTTGATCATTGTTGAAGGGCGTGCGGTGAACTATAGTTGATTCCATCAACGTCATTTGGTCCCTGGTGGATAGTTTTCTCATTAGCAATCATACCAGATGTCCTTATTTTTTAATTTAATTTAACGCTGAACGTTATAAAGTCACCCATCATCATTTTCCTCACGTGTCTATTATTGGTATCAATATATAGAAAATAAAAGTATTTGAAAACCATGTTTTTAGCACATTTATAAATATGCCTTTATTATCTGTCAAGTATCTATTGAAATAAAGAAATACATGTTTTATACAGTGACACTTCTACACCATGCAAACTACAAATGCAATAAGAGCAAGTATGGATAAATTAAGTGAACACATCTTTTTTTATACAAATAATATCCGCTTATTGTTTAGATGTCAACCATGGATTCTGTTAACTGCCAAATATAACTTTGGATATCATTATCTAGATGTGGGGAATGCGAGTTAATGCAACAGCAACCCGACGATTAAAAATAACCAAAAGACATCTAGAGGGCAACATATGGACCTGTTTGTTTACTCTTATTTTTGCCCAGCAACAAAACAATAAAATGAGAACAACAGATATGCAAAATCTTTTTTATGTAAATGTTTCTGTTGGCTCTCTATCCTACCACCCTTAAAAGTCTACCGTGGTTTTTTTTTAAATACCAATTCGATTTCAAAGTGTGAGCGAAATCACTTAAAATATTATTTAGTATTAAGTTATTTTTAGTTGCTCATGTACTTAACTTTGGAGATTTCTTATATCATAATATACAATGTAATTAAATTTATGTTGAATTATTGGTAACGCTTGCAAAATTTTGATTCCAGATTTTCTTTTACAGATGCTTATTGTTCCAACTTTAGAGTCATTAATTTTTCGAGAATCCCCTGTCGAGTGAAGTTAGCCTAAGTTGAGAACATAAAACTTATTATAACATTAATGTTACCAATTTTACTGTATATATATAACTTACGTTTGTACCTCTCAGAATCGAATAGCACATGTATGACGATTTTGAAAAATAAATTAAATTAACAGGACAGTTGTGATAAGAGCAGGTGATTGTTTGGCCCCCTTATTCTCCGAAAATAAATAATTTTGCTGATTTCATTGATAAATGAACAAGTAATTATATAGTCCTGACACATTAGTGCAAAACGATTGCTTGTGATGTCATAAAGTTGACAAAATCGACAATGTTGATATAAGGTAGCCACTTTAAACATAGTTTTTGGACAAAATAGATAAGGATTAGATATTTTTTTACACATTAACACCTTTATTAAATACATCTTTTAGCAAAATATCTTTTTGGATAAAGCCTTTACTCCTTTCTTAATATTAATGACAATTCTCAAAACTGTGATGCCACTTTGGCAGTTTTGTAATTTTGAGACAATTGTAAGAAGTTTGAAGCCCTAATGCAAATATGTAAGACAACATTCAAAATATAAATACTGATGTCTCACGGAGTAATTCTGTCTTATGAACATCTGAATGATGTTATATGATAGATTTATAATACTTTTTTTGATTTTCGAATCCAAAGCTTTATCATATATACCTTCTCCAAAGCGCATTTCCTTAAAGAAATATCATAGTCTAAAGTCCGGGAATGAGACCACTCGACCATGACTGCTAACATAACCGTGTTAATAAAATTTATACTTTTACTGCGCTTTTATTGGCATTTCGTGTCAATATAAATAAGATCAAATACTGTATCGGTTAAAAAAAGAGACGAAAGATACCAAAGGGACAATCAAAATTTGTTAGTTAAAGAGACATCGACAAAAACAAAAAACGACGAAAAGACCAACAAAATTTACAAAAAAAACATTGCATAGCAATTAAACTAAATATAAAATCCAAATGCAGGATTGACATCAAAACATCATAATTCATAAAATATGTAAAATAGAATATGTATGCAACAAACACAATGTGTCAATATGTTCAGTATATTTCTTCTACTTCTACTTTGTAGTGACCGCCTTCAACACGTTGAAGTTTATGTCACTTGTACTACACTACAATTACAACGCCCATAGACAACATATTCTCATAAAAAAAGTTTAGTATATTTCATTTAGGCTAATAAAAACCAAACTACAATATCAAATTTGATGCCCACATGACAGTGTCATGTGCTGAATACTCTTGCCAAGTTTAAGTTAAACATGTGTGCATATATGAATACTAAAATATTCCTAAAGAACACAAAACATATGATAAAATAATCATAAACTTGTCAATACACATACTCAAGAAAATTCTAGTACATTTCATTTAGGCTAATAAAAACCAACAAATTACAATATCAAAATATCAAATTGGATACCCACATGACATTGTCATGTGCTTAATACTCTTGACAAGTTTGAGTATACATGAATACTGCAATATACTAAAACAAAACAAAATATATGATAAAAGTAATCATTAACTTGGCAATACATTAACTCAATCAATTAACATTGTTCATTTATATACAGTATATATATTATGGCTGGTTTTTTTTTACTTTAATGTTGTCGTTCTTTGTGTTAATTATTTCATTTTACACACATTATCTGTTAACTGTTGGAAATGGACCTTTCGAAAACCAAACTTGTGATAATAATCACAATTTAACCATATGAAATAAAGTAGTACTATTAATCGTATCGCAATACCAAAATAAAATATTATTGCATGTTAAATTTTCTAAAAAAGAAAAAGAAAAAAAAAGAGAAAACGGATAAAATTCTCAACGCTGTTCACACATAAACACATGATATATTGCATGATATATCGGAAAAATTGTCTCTCTTTTCGGATTTTTCTTATCAAAATCATCCAGAAACCTTCAATCAAATTTAAAGAGAATCCTACAAAAATAGAGGAGGTAGTGTGGCGATAAAACATAGTATTGGTTGACTTTGAAAGCCTTTTCCGCTCAAAATAGTGCCCATTTCAAATGTTTCTGAGTGTCTAACTCATCTATGGTTATGATGATTGGAAACCTTCATCCAGATTTGAAGAGGATGCGACAAAAAATAAAGGTGCTATCAAGGCGACATCAACGTAGTGACGGACGACCGGGTCAAAACCATTTTACCTCAGCAAATACAGTACGTTACTATGGGGTGTTGCTGTTTTACAATAAAGTCTAAAATGACAGCTACTGTCGTGACCTTATTTTTTTTACCTCTAAAAGTGACACAAAATACATATTTTATTTCCTGTGATTAAAATAATATGTATGGGGGTAAGCAACAATCTAATACTTATATTCCGGTGTAAGATTCGATCTCCCGTTTATTCAACATGTATCGTTCTATCTGAACATACACTTATGTTGCCTATCGTCACCGCGTTGGTAAGATATCGAAAAAATACATATTCTTATATACACCCATTAACTAAAGCATAATTAATTATTCTGTTTTAAAATAATATTTTTGTTTTTATTATAGCCAATAATTGCGTTTTCTTGGTAATATAACAGAGTCTCTAGTAATAGTATATATCTAGCAGCTTTGACCGTAGATACATGTACCCTACAATAGTAGCAATAATAAAAAATATTAAACTACAATATTAAACTTTCTTTAATTTTCATATGCCTAAATATAGATGTGAACCGTATTAATTCCCACACATTCAAGAATAAAAAAATAAAATTGAAATTCTTTTTAGATACTTCTATTGATTTATGTTCCAAATTTAAAACCGTGTTTTAGTCAATTCAGAAACGATAATCAACTTGCGATTAAAGGTTCTTGTTGATTTTCCTTTCTATATCCACTACTTCATATAAATTCTCTGCATTTGTTGTCTTGTTTTTTCTTTTCATTAATATTGCTGTTATCTTGTTTTACAATTTCTTTTTTTACTAATAAGCTACAGCTTTTAAAACAATAAGAAAATAAAAATATCATCATAAAACGTTGAATATTGATGTTATATAAGACCATCATAATTACTATATACAAACAAACAAAAATAAAATGTAATATATTCAATTTGAATGCTCATAGTTATTTTCTATGCTTCTTTTTCCATTCAATATACATATCCACTTCTGCATCCATACATTTTTGGTTTGCTAACTCATATGGACACCCTGTCTTCCTCTGGTGGAAGTATATGATTGCCTCCTTATGTAAAACAAAGGTCACATAGTGGTCAGCAAAACTGAAAGTGAAATAACAAGAATTTAAACTTTAGTATGTAATGGTTATACACTGTAATTCCTATCTTTTTGTTTGTAAAGTCAGTTTAAGACATTGACGTTTTTATACATTTTTGCAAATGTGAAAAAAAAACTATAACCTTCTGCGACTTACCATTTATAAATAATAACAGAAAACAGCATTTGTATTGCAAAACTTAACATACTTTACTTAGCAGACTGGGTATATATATATATACCATGCCGTCAGTATATCCGCCCATCTAAGGCTGCATTCGCGGCGCTTTGTCCAACGTTTTCGTATATATATACCCTGTGGTTGTTTAATTGTTCCTTTCCATAAAAATTGAACTATTTTGATGAAAAATAATGACCAAAAATTGGCCAAATTATTTCATACAAGAAATAGAGTGATTTCAAATGGCTTCAAATGGAACTATGTGCCACCAATGCGAATGTTGCTGTATTAGCTCCCACATTAACCCATTAGAATTAAAAATTGCCTCTGATGGTTATGTGTTTTATGTCATAATAACTAACAGAGGAAAACTTCAGAACGACCTTTTATTCATTATTCCCGCCATTAGTTTGGTTCAAATTGTCAGTGTAAATTGTCTAACGATCAACGAAAAGCGATAACTTTAGCTAAAGATCAAGACGAACGAAACAATTTATATATGAGTACCTCTTTATTATATAATGCTTAAAAATATTCGTAAGAACCTAACTATCTATAAAAACATGGCCTTTAATTGACATAATAATATAATTTTCTGGTATAACTCGACGTTTCAGCCATGCACTAGTTAAACTTACAACTTATATTCCAGGAAAATATTTTGAAGTTCAATATGTGTCAGCTTCCTTATCCTTCTGCCGCCGAATCTGAAGGGTTCGTGATGATTGTACACCAAATTGTCTGTCAGATATTTGAGCAGAGCACTAATAATCTTTAAAAAAAAAAATATATATATATTGTAGATTGTTCTGGTGAACACGATCAATGTATAACCCAGGCTTTAAAGGAGCTGTCAAATTCATGTTCACCGATTTGACTCAAATTCTCATATTTGATTTATAACATACTAAAACGTATATCCAAATTACAAAAAGTCTAAAATTAACAATTAACAATGCGTGGACTCGATAATATTCATCAGGATTTCGTACGATTTTAGTCTAGACTCCATCTAATTAACCATCGAGATGACCTCCGAAGACTGCCGACGGTTATATTACCCGATATAAACATAAATATAAATAGATAGCGAGCACGTGCAATTTGATTTTTTCTAGGTCTGTTTGATTTCATGTTAGAGGTTAAAATATATGTTAATCATAATTTTGTGTGGCTAGAATCAGTCAACGAAATGGTTCACCCTTGTTTCACGTTCAATGTTGACATTCTTTTCTTTTTAATAGCTGAACACGCCTAGTACATGCGGAACCCATCTCCAGCAAAGAGGTAAAGTTGAAGGTCACATGAATACGGATTCACATGAGGTTGAATTATTGAATTATCAATAATACATCAGCGATGTTTTGAGCTTATTTTGACAAATTCGGGCCAACTGACTGCTTATAATGAAATATTATTTCAAAATTCCGCTTTTATTAATACTTGAAACAAAAAGAATCGTATTTTAATTTTTTTTCTAAATCGTAGCTAATGCCCCTTTAAAAGACTAGGTACAGTACCGAAATATTTTATCTGAACCTGGTGAATCACCAGTAAAAGTGAGTAACATTCACTAATAACGCCAATTTTTTTATTATATATTCATTTTTTTTATAATTTAGAAGTTTAACAATTTGGTCATTTGGTTTAAAACTAAGTTGAAACATTAATTTTGAAGTGCTGCCCTTAGATGAATTTAGGTCAATTTTGTACAGCTCCAAGTGTTGGTCTTTAACTTTCCCGAGTAATGAAGTATTATGAAGAAATTAAACGCCATAAATTTTGAATGTGTTTTTCATATTACACTTTTTACAGCGAAAACCCGGTTTACCTTAAGATCTGATGGATGCCAAATAAATCATACAGATTTTCATCTCCCTGTTATGTGCAAGAAGTAACTTGCAGTTGCTTTCTTACGTCGAGTGACAAATATTTTAGCCACATTTAAGAGGATAACATATTTAACAGTTCATCAATTGGGTAGTTTCTGTGGGCAATTATAAAGGGTCGAAAAGGAAAACTGAAAAAAAGTGAAATGTTTTTGCACTGTCTGAAGACTGGATAATGCATTCAATGAATGTTCGCGTTTCTATCATTGTGTATAAAACAGTCAAACAGAAAGTTACTCATGTCACCCTTGCATGTGTAAACAGTATGCGGTGGTTGTCCTTTTACCTATAAACATTTACAGCTAAGACCTTTCTTATTTTCATCATGGTCTTTTTTTGTTCTTTGATCATTGGTCATTTGGTCATTGCATGCAGCATTTTTCAACACTCATAGGTTTTAACAAGTTGAAAAGCCAACGCTGGTTGGTTTAAACCAGGATGCATACCTTTTGAGAAATTACTCCGCAGCCAAAGGCTAATCTTCTCCTCTCTCTATTGACTATCATTTCAGGGCTGCCAATAAACTGATGGTGGCGCTCATGATCAGCCTCATCACTACAAAGCAATTACTGAAAATTTTTGAATCTTATCAACTGCAATATTAATATTATATTGATTGATTTTTTCTTTTGAAATTATCGAGGTTTATATTTTTTCATCATAAAATTGTTTCTCCTTGAAACAATGTATTATACAAAATTGGTTTTTGTAGGTAAATTCTAAAATCTAAATTATTGAAAGCTATCATTAAGCATATACCATAACGTCATAGTGTAAATTATTTTTACATAGAAGTGCTATCATTTATCAGCAAAAAGTGCAGATTTTGACAATTAAACCAGAAAAAGAAAAGATAGAAAAGCGATTCATATTGCCATACAAAAGCAGTGATAAGGTATTAATTTGATGACAGAAAAATAGAAGCAATTAAGATTTCATTCCAAATCCATAACTACAAAACATCTTCTGAAAGTGTTACTGCATCTGGAAAATTTGAGATATTGACACTTTTCCTGGTTTATCAAAACGAATTGCTCTTTTTAGAACAATAGAAAAGATAAAATTGTTATTTATTACTTCTATGTAAATCAGATGTAGTCGTCTCATATCTGAGGGGCTAACCCCCCTCAGATATGAGAAGCTTACATCTTATACATACCATCACGAGGCTAACGCACTCAGGAATATATGTCAGTGATACCTATGCTGTCTGCAAGCTTTAGTGGCTTTATGCACCGTGACATTAGAAGGATATCAAAGTTTTCAACAAACTTTTTTTTAAATTAAACATCAGACGTGCATTGTCAGTGGATATAAACCGGAAAGCATAGCTTGTATATCTGATATCACCAACCATAATGTACTGTTAGTACTTAAATGTCATGCATTTAATTAAATGTTGACTCACCAATTACTGTTCTCACAGTGCATGATTTCATTGACATAAGTCAGCATCCGCATTTTCTGAAAAAAAAGTAAAACATGTATAAATTGAAACTTTAATATGTTAAAGATTTTAAAGTAGACCTAAAAAGGTTTCTATCATTTACCGGGATCTTTGCCATGGTCTCAGGAACTGTCACTCTCAAACCTTGTAATAAGTTCTAACGGCGATTGGCATAGAATTGTACTGGATTTTTTCCCTGCATTTTGATAATAGAGCCGTCCTTAAAGATGTACCAATTTGCTTAGGGAAACCACAAAAATAATTCGGACCAAAATACAAAATTGGATGTGCACAATGGCATTTATATGGTTCAGATTTTGAGAAAGTGTTATTAAATCATGATTAGGGATTCAAGGAAGAGAAGTCGATACAAATATGTACTATAGTGTGCAGATATGACAAAGTCCATGTCAATGCGTCATAAAGTAATCCCCAATACTCATTCAGATGAATAAATTAAATATATAGGAAGTGCAAAAGTACATAATTTGAGTAAGACTCGGTGTAAATCTTACATAAATCTGTCAATCGGTCCAGGAGCAGTTGCGCATACACAAGTGGGACAGAAAAAACAGACGGACATTCGGACAGACCCCTCCATCACACTATATCACCCGTTTAAGAAAGCTCGGTTACAATAGACAGTAGGGGTATAATAATGTAAGGAGACTATTTTTATATCGATCGGCTTAACTGTTGTTCACATTTTCAAAGCTCAACCCTTAGCAATAGTATGATAACTTTAATATAACTTATACTAATGTTTGCATTTACTTACTTCAAAATCTGCAAATTCCATTGAGAAATCTGAAGAGAAAAAAAAAGAATTGTAATTTTGGACCTGCTTTGAATGAATATAATGACAAGTGTACTTGTTTTCTTTGTACATAATATGCCATTAAAGGGATTGAAATTAACAAAAAATTACAAAAACAATTGAGAAATCTTGACATATATCTAGGACTTAATATCTAGAAATAATTCCATACCATATAGTAATAGAACATGATTGCAAAATTTTGACAAACTACAATGAGTTTTATCCACATAAAATAAATTTTCGTTCTATTCTTATTGAAAATAATCCTGAGTTCTCTTGCATTTTATAATCTTATAGATATATATATTTAGGGAATGATCTTTACTTAAATCTTTATGTGAATCAAGAAAATGGAGCACAAGACAAAGATTACCTTCATCTATATCTTCATCTTCATCTTCACTGTCTCCAACTTCCTGCTTATCTGGACTGTCTTTATTTAGCTGTAGAAAAGATAATTAGGAAATTGTGTTAATACTTGTTTTTGTATGTTTTCATATAACTGCGTAATCTTTCAGGCAACGAAATAAGCAACAACGCCGTATGTCTCATATATGTCCTTTGGACCAACTTAAATTGAGCCGGACCCGAATTGTATGGTGGAAATTGCACAAATATAATATTTCATGAAGGGTGTATACATATTTATAAACATTTTGAGATGTTCATAAATTCATAATACTATTACAATATTACAAAATAATTTTCCAGAGATATTTTAAAGTAAACCCTACTCTTCCTTTCTCCCTTAATATCTACCAGGGTGTTTAACGACCTTGACTACCCACGAGGGCCTCGCACGGTCGGTCAATTAACATATTTTATGCACAAATATATTTATCTTACCTACACTACTAGGAATATCATTGGTTAAAAGCGAACACGTGGAAACCGTGTACATTTACTATAATGGAGTGGTCGTGTTTTATTTTAAATCAAGTTAAGGCACGGTCTGTGGGCGTGGTTTATTTTAAATACATGTAGAAGTTCTTTGATATTACATTGTTATTGTTGGCATTTGTTTTTGTACACGTCAATGCAAGTAGGTTCTTAATATTGAAGACTTGGTCCTGTTATATTCCACCTTACACCAAATATTGCTTTAGTGATTCATAATGATCACTATAACAAAAAATGAAAAATATCTATAATTCTTTTACAACTTCCTCTGAATTCACCACATTAAGATAGTCGGTAAGATAAATTCGTTACAAAGTATGCTAGTGAATTTTAAATACGATATATATTCGCTCGCTCTCGCCCCATATTGAATTTACTGACCCAGTATATATCGTATTAGGTCAGCCTTGGACTATTATACTAACCAATATATTATGTCCTAGGTGTAACTAATAATATATATGTGCATTTTACTTACATATTATGAAATCAAATAAGTTTTATTTTAAGTCGGCAAGTTAAATAACAATACAACATAAGCTCTGAGCGAGATTTTGAAACGACATACATTTAAGAATTGAATGCTTCTTTTCATAATTTCATTGGGGTGTAAAAGCGTTGACCGAAGCACATTTTGTAGGAAGCGCTTCATATTA